TTTGGGGGAGGGGGGAGAGCTATGAGTTTTAGAGGCTATTTTAAATGTATTTATTATAGTTTAATTTCTATTACACTATACTATTTAATTGCTTATTAACTTTTGTATTGCACTTTTTAAACTTGACTAAAGTGTTGGATTGTTAGCTACTTTAAGTCTCTGTCGGGAGAAAGGCAGGGTATAAAAAGTTACTACTATTTATTTACTTATTTATTTACCGCATATGTTCTGTCGCGCTCTGGGCCTGTAATAGCTGTACTTTTCTATAGGACGTATACTTTAAGCCCAGCGGGAAGCCAAGGGCGCCTCAAAGAGAGGTTCTCAGGGATTTTTCTGAAGTGATGGTCTTTAGAGTCTTTAATGATACAACAAAGTCTTTATTATGGAACAACAACAAATCTTCAATGGTTCAAACAACACTTCAAGGCTTTCTTAGTCTAGTCCTCAATGGGCTGGTACCTGACTTTAATTAACTGAACCTTCTCTGTAGGAAAAACCCTTTTTAACCTCTCCCAGGCTGTTTACTATCTATGCCTCATCGGTGTGGGTCCTACTACCGATTCCAAATGCGTCTGGGTATCGAGTAGACCTACCAGCCGAGGCTTGAAGATATTTCAGCTGGAGTTCTGTGGATCTGTAGTGCTGTCCTCCCTCAGAGAATTCTTTGAGAACTTCAGGGCTGTTTTCCCTGTGTTTGCTGTGAGGCTGAGAGGCTGTGAGCTCTCAGCCAGAGCCTTGGGACCTTTTCCCTGGAATTTCTGTTTCCCCGGATGTTCTGTTTCCCTGGATGCTATTGAGAAAATAAGCTTTTCTATGGGACGAGCTGGTCTACGTCCTATAGTTTAGCTTCCTTGTGTGAGACTGCCCCAAAAAAATGGCTACTTTCCCTGCCGGAGCCCTGAACAAGGGGCGGAACCAAAGCTTAATTATGATGGATAGGAGGCCTGCCCTATGACTGCAAACAGAAAGACCGAGAGCAGGGCCTCCTCAGAAGATCTTAATCTCCTAGCTGATTCATAGAGGTAAGCCGGGCTGGAACCGTTCAGGGCTTTATAGGTCAAACCCAGCACTTTGAATTGTGCTCGGTAGCAGACTGGCATCCAGTGGAGCTGACGGAACAAGGGAGTTGTATGCTTCTTGTACCCTACTCTGGTGAGCAATCTGGCTGCCACCCATTGGACTACTTAAAGCTTCCAAATAGTCTTCAAAAGCAATTCCATGTAGAGCGCTTTTCAATGGTCTATTTGTGGTGTAACAAGAGCGTGCACCACTGTGGCCAAGTCTGACTTCCCAAGGTACGGGCACAACTGGTGCACAAATTGTAACTGTGCAAAAGCTCCCCTGGCCACCACTGAGACCTGAGGTTTCAGGCTCAGCAATGAGTCCAGGATCACTCCCAAGCTGTGAACCTATGTCTTTAGGGGGAGCGTAACCCCGTCCAGCACAGGCTGTAACCCTATAACCTGTCTGGACTTACTACTGACCAGGAGTACCTCTATCTTGTCTGAGTTCAATTTCAATTTGTTCACCCTCATCCAGACCTGAACAGCCTCTTAAGCTGTACTTAGCTGATAGAGTTGTACATCTAAGTACAGATGACATTGAACATCAAAATCCCAAAACTTCAAAACTACTACTACTACAGTACTAATACTACTACTACTAATAATAATAATACAAGCATCACACTTGTTGCCTGTTTTTACTTATTTTCTGTTCTCTTAGGATATACCTACCCTTCTACTTTTAATAACACTCTTCTAGATTAGAAAACCAGTAGATGAACTTCATCCCTATCTTTGCTGTAGAAAAATAATAAATAAGTCCCAATCTTTCTTAAAATTAGTCAACAATTTCTACTTGATCAGCATTGCTAGTTTGTCCATTCCTGCTAATTCATACACCTTCACCAACCATTCTTCTTGTTTTGGGATAGCTGATTCTTTCTATCACTGGGTATCGATAATTCTCACTACAGTAATCATGTGTAGTAAAGTCCTCCCTGTTTGCATATTAGTTTATTGTTCAGCATTCCCAATAAGTAAAACTTTGGTTTCATCATGATTTTAACCTTAACCATTTTTACACATCATATGTATTTCAATCCAGAGGCGGAAATGTCCCATCGTATTCTATGCATTTCCAACATGTATTAAAATTGTCTTTATACATCTTAGAAAGCTTTTCAGTTGTCAGGTACCACCTAGCTATGGAAAAGCATCTGCCTCATCACACTAGAGCATAGATCCACTTTAAATCCAGTTTCTACCTTCTGAAGAATTCTGGGGTTTGTAGTTCAGTGAGGTTCAGGGCCTCTTTGGCTGAGCAGTTAAAGGCCACTCGATAAACTACAAACCCCAGAATTCTGCAGGAGGAAGAAACTGGATTTAAAGTGGATCCATGCTTTAGTGCAGTGGTTCTTAACCAGTGGGTCTCCAGGTGTTTTGACATACAATTCCCAGAAATCCCAGCCAGTTTACCAGCTGTCAGGATTTCTGGGAGTTGAAGGCCAAAACATCTGGGAGCCCACAGGTTGAGAACCACTGGGCTAGTGTGATGAGGTCCTATATAATCTTACATCAACCAAACGTATTGAATGCAATATTCCTTCTTCTGGCAGGGAGTTGGACTGGATGGCACATGAAGTCTCTTCCAACTCTATGATTCTATATAATCTTACATAAACAAAAATGAAAGAAGACATTGGATGATGGTATAATGGGGAATAGCACATGACATTCTGGGAAATCCCAGATGTTCAGAGGTTCCCCGTTAAAGCTAGATTCACTGCCTGGATTTGGGGATCTCCATTCCTGGTTTCATATGAACCAATTCCAGGTGAGAATGCAAGAGCCATTTAGTAAATCAAAGGTATGTGCACATGACTTAAAGCTGAAGTACTTGGGAGCATTTTTAGAAGCAAGATAATTCCAACTCTAAGCTGTAGGTCAGCCACTGAGAAGTTTTCAGATCTTATGACAATCAGGTGGGCACGAGGAGTCTCAGAACATGCATTTCAAAGAGGACAAACTGAGGAATTAGTAACTTGACCAGAAACTTGAGGAAACATGGAATGGTATATCATCCCTATAAGAAATAAGCAAACAAAAAATGCACCATGAGCTAACAGATCTTTACTTCAGCAAAAATTTACTTGAACACTTTTTTCTTAGAATAAGAAAATGGCCCAACTGACCTTAATTCCTACAAAATGCAAATGTAGTTTTGACTCATTCAGAAGTGGGGAGAAATCAGGTGGGGGAAGCTAACTGCTGCAACCCCCCTGTGATGTTGCTCATCCAGATGTGTCTAAGTTTTAATCTGTAAAATCTTAGAAAATATGTGTCCTTTCATTACAATTTTTGTGTGAATTAGGATTTTACTTCCACAAATGCATGAAGATCCTCTTCAGTTGACAGTTGGTCTACACACACACACACACACACCATCACATAGGTACCATCTAGCCCTATGTCTTATACAAAGCCATCTATGAATAATGTTTACTAGACATTTAGAATGTAGCTTAGGAATGTAAGCAACATAAAAGTCCAGTTACAGGTCCAATTCACTGGCATTTCCATTTGTTTCCAAGCTCAAGCAAGCCATAAAAATCTAAGACCCAGTCACATTACAAAGTGACAATGCTTCATGGTCATGGCCATGAAAGAACACAATGGAAACTTAGAGTTTGTAGTATGGCCGAAGGACCTAAAGTTCTCTGGCTGAGAACACTTGCTGGTCTGCATATTCCAGGAATCCATAGGATAGAACCAGGACAGTTAGGGTGGTATAATAGCACTATAATTCTGTAGTGTGAATGGATCCCAGAATATATTTTTCCTTGCTAAGTCAATCCATGATGGGTCTGTGGAAAATCCTTCCAAAGGTAGGCTACCTAAGTAATCTTACTCATGGGCTTTAGAGTGATGTTAAGTCCCTGTGTCTGATATAGTAACCAATTAGAATTTTAACACTTTGCAGTTATGTTGCAATTGATATGTCACCCAAACTATAATTTATTCTTACACCTATGTTGGAATCATATTTTTATTTTTAAAATTCCTTTAAAAATATTTATTTTATAAGTTAAGCAATAGGGGAGATGGTGTTCCTTCATTGTATATTATGCCACTTGTTGGCTACTTCTTTTCTTTTAACCTTCAGCATGCACAGTTGTCAGATGGGGGGACAATCCCAGACATGCTGCATTATCATAGGATGTCTGCGCCCTACACCACTGGAGAAATTGCACTGCTTAGCAGGTATTGCACCACCTGACATCCACCGGGAATTAGCAGCCAATAGTGAAAGGACCAAGGCAGAGACATCTCCAGCTCATCCCCTGTTTGGGTATCAGCCAGCACGTCAACGACTTAAATCTAGAAATAATTTTCTAAGATCTACAGAGACACTCGCTGGAACACTTCAGCAAGCGAGAGTCCAAAAGTGGCAGGCTCAAACCCAGAACCTCAATCAATGGCTGATACCAAATGAGAGACTCCCCCCTGGGCACACAGAGGACTGGGCGACTTGGAAGGCGCTGAACAGACTGCGCTCTGGCACAAGATGCAGAGCCAACCTTCATAAATGGGGCTACAAAGTGGAATCCACGACATGTGAGTGTGGAGAAGAGCAAACCACTGACCACCTGCTGCAATGCACCCTGAGCCCTGCCACATGCACAATGGAGGACCTTCTTGCAGCAACACCAGAAGCACTCCAAGTGGCCAGATACTGGTCAAAGGACATTTAATCAACTACCAAACTCACAAATTTTGTATTTTGTCTGTTTGTTTGCTTTGTTCTGTTAGAAATGTAATATAATTTGACTGGTTGTCCTGACACGACAAATAAAATCCCAGATTGCACAATTTCCTTATTATTTAGGTATTACCTATTTTATTGCACAATTAATCATCTGTTTCCCATTTAGATCCAGGGAAATGCCAGAAGGCTTGGCTATAAAAACCATCAAGTTTCTCAAGAGATCCATGCCTCATCCACCAGGAAGCTGCAGAGATGAAAGTGTTGGCCTTCACCCTCCTCTGTCTCTTCATTGCTGTCAATGAAGCCAAAGTGTATGAGAGATGCGAACTGGCTAGGAAACTGAAAAACTCTCAGTTGGATGTGGCATCTGGCTACAGCATTGCAAACTGTAAGTTTTCTTCCCCTTCCTCTCCATCTTTGCCTTAACATGGTTTTGGACTTTTTAAAGGGCTAACCTAAAATGTGGTGAACTGCATATTTGGAGTCAATGGGGGTAAATTATAGGGATGATGCCGATATTTGATCTGGATCTGGATCTTGACCTCTTGTTAACAGCCTGTTTATTTTAACTTTGGATGTAATGTGGGTTGTATGCTGTATGAGTATGTGTCAAGTTGTTTAATTGATTAGCCAGTGGCTAATAAATTAAACAAACAATATGGGCTTCAGGGTTGAAGTAAAAAATATGAGATTATGTTGATCCATTGTTATTTTAAAGTTAGATGTACTAAGGGTGTCGTTTCTCTGGAGGATATAGAAATAACAATAATCAACATTGCTTGACTGGCTTATAATAGCCTAGACCTGTGGGTTCCCAGGTGCTTTGGCCTCCAACTCTGAGAAATACCCACCCAGTTTACCAGCTGCTGGGATTTCTGGGAGTTGAAGGCCAAAACATCTGGGGACCCACAGGTTGAGAACCACTGGCCTAGAGGGTGTGATCTTGAAAGGTGACCAATGATGCCAATGCTCGAACGTCCTCCACCCGTTTCCAGACCCTGCCAGTGCTGCTTTTGCACTTTTCTCTCTCTGCTTAATGGCCCGGGACAGCTCCCACTCTGCTCTGCTCCATTCCTCCTCATCTCCAAAGGACAACTGCTAAGTTCAACAACTGACTAAATACTGCCATGTCTGATTTTAATACATTTTGGTATTTCAACTTGTTATATTTCTCTGTCAATTTAAGTGGAAAATTAAATTTAGCACAGGGTTTAAATGTAGATATTATTTTCATAATTGTGCAACTTTTTTCCCCCAGTGACATCTGTCTCCCTACCTCTTCTAACTCTAGCCCATTTTTGTTGATTTCCTCCCCAGGGGTCTGCTTGGCTTACTATGAGAGCAGATTCAACAGCAGGGCTGTGGGACGACCCAACTGGGATGGAAGTCGAGACTATGGGATTTTTCAGATAAACAGCCGCTGGTGGTGCTCCAATGGAAGGGGCACAACTGCCAATGGCTGCAGATCCTCCTGCAGTGGTAAGCATTGTTATAAAACCCGCATCCTCAACTATTTATTATCAATTGACGCAGAAAACGCCTTCGACAAATTAAATTGGGATTTTTTAAAATTGGTACTTAAGGAAATGGATATGGGCTATGCATTTACAAACACAATTGAGGAGATATATAAAGATCAAGAGGCAGATCTATGGATAAACTGACAAGCTTTGAAAAGATTGAAAGTAGAAAAGGGCACGAGACAAGGCTGCCCATTATCTCCACACATATTCATACTGGCATTGGAGATCTTATTAAATAACATAAGAGCCTATAAAATTTTCCAAAGAGAGTGGGTGGATTATGTTTTGTAAGGAAGGTTGTGATCCTCCAAAATCCATTACCCTTGGTCAGTCTTCATCCTGACTACAGGTGTTCTCATACATACTATCCCTAGGGGAGGGACAACATCTGGTGAAAGAAGTCCTACAGTTTCGAAGTAGTGTGCTGTCACTGAATGTGCCATATGTGCACAAGGTGGCTGGAAATGACTCAGTTACTGAAGACCTGATAAGCTTTATTTGTCCCTTTTTGGTCTCAATCCATTATGGCTCACCATAGCGTATAATTCCATTGGTTGAGCAATGGCTATGCTGAGTCGTTTACCACCTCCGTATTCCTCTATGGGAGGGTAAACTTAATAAAGCCCCATCTCACACTATTATTCTCTACCTAGTAGGAAGTGGCCACAGTAATGCATGACTGTGTTCCCATAGCCAAAAACAAAGAAATCACTTATCCACCGAATTCTACTGCACTCCAAATTGCAGTGACTGGAGTAATTTTTTCACATCTATGGGAATCCCCATTCCTCGTTGCCATGTAGTAATGAGCGGGGGAGGGGGGCTTTATTAGAGTTGTGGTACATCTGGGGAGCTTTGTTAAATGTCGAGGGGCAAAGTGAATAGAAATGTAATGTCTAAGGCAGTGTTTCTCAACCTTCCTAATGCTGCGACCCCTTAATACCGTTCCTCATGTTGTGGTGATCCTCAACCATAACATTATTTTCGTTGCTACTTCAGAACTGTAATTTTGCTACTGTTATGAATGGTAATGTAAATATCTGATATGCAGGATGTATTTTCATTCACTGGACCAAATTTTGCACAAATACCCAATACGCCCAAATCTGAATACTGGTGGGGTTGGAGCGGGGGTGGATTGATTTTGTAATTTGGGAGTTGTAGTTGCTGGAATTTATAGTTCATCTACAATCAAAGAACATTCTGAACTCCACCAATGATTGAATTGAACCAAACTTGGCACACAGAACTCTCGTGACGAACAGAAAATACTGTGTTTCTGACACCCCCTCATGGCACTCCCCAGGGGTCCCAACCCCCAAGTTGAGAAGCACTGGTTAAGGTGAAATGTATATATGTAAGTGTATGGTTAAGGCATGCATGTGTATACCCATAACATTGGCCATTAAATTAATTTATAGCTTTAATTTGCTATAATATCATTTTGTAATATTATAACTTTTTTTTGGGGGGAGCAGCTTTCACAGATGATGACATCACAAATGATATTACATGCGCTAAGAGAATTGTCAGAGATCCCAACAAGATAAGCGCCTGGTAAGTCCATTTTGTTTCTTGGCCATCTGTCTCCTACTTGTTCAGATTCAATTGCAGTCAAATGTTTTTTCTAAAATCCTTTTGGCAAAACAGAATAAGTAAGAAAAACCACAGCCTTTGACTTCCTTTGATATAGTTGGTAACTAAAGAGGTTTCCTCAACTGGGACAACTGGTCAAAATGTACTTCCTTGACCATGAATGGCAGACTAAGGCTATTTATAAAAAGTAGTCTGATTAAGAGGGGATTGAAAAGAGTAGTCTCGCAACAGAAATGCAAGGAAGAACTAGATGTCAGAGTTTTGCAGGTTCTGTATTGGGAAGGAATTATACTCCAACTCTTGTCTGTTGGAGGCAAGTGTGAATGTTTCAATTAGCCACCTTGATTAGCGCTGAATAGCCTTGCAGCTTCAAAGCCTGACTGCTTCCTTCCAGGAGGAATCCTTTGTTAGGAGGTCTTAGCTGGCCCTCATGGTTTCCTGTCTGGAAACAATTCACACTTGCCTCCAATAGACAAGAGTTCTCCCCCCCCCCCCAGACCTTCCACAGAAATATAAACCCCAGTTGCCTAGTTTCCAACAGACCTCACAACCTCTGAGGATGCCTGCCATAGATGTGGGTGAAACATCAGGAGAGAATGCTTCTGGAACATGGCCATACAGCCTGAAAAACTCACAGCAATCCAAACCTGTGTACACTTCCACTGCCGATAGTGATTACTCTTCCCAAATAATGTGCTCAGGAGCAACATTAACGAGCCTATCACCAATTTGCAAGGAAGCTCTTAGGTTTAGGAGATAGGAGCCACCGATTTGTAAAAGGCTCTGGTCTTAATACCACTGGATGCCACCCTATTTGTGTTGTGAGGTAATCTTGGGAGATTGGGACACCGAACGTAGAATTAATGGAGATGAGGCAGTTTTAAAAACCAAAGAGAACAAGTTTATTTTGAAACAAAGCGTATGGTTGCAGTTTGATGTTAAGCTTGGCAAATACTTGGAGAACGTTACATGTAACTTGGTTGCGATACAGTTCAGACTTCTGTTGTTACAACTTATAAATAACTCTTGCTGTGATCAAGTACTTTATTAAACAATGTTTTCTGTGGTGAATAGTCTCCCTGCTTGATCCTTCTGTGATCAAACACCAGATCTCTAGTTCTTTTAACTAGTGATCTAACAAGCCTCTGTTAGTTCTTTCTAACTAAAGAAACTAATAAGGTTTTCCCCTTCAGCTTTCCTAACTGAAGAAATCTCTGACTATTCACGAACACTGTTTCTCTACTTCCCACTTTCTCTCTACATAACTGTTCACTCCTCCTAACCTAACTCTTCTCTCTTCCGAGCCTAAAACCTGACTGACTTTTAACTGTCGCTTTTCCAAAACTCTCCTCTCTAAGCTCCTCCCACTTCTCTTCAGCATCGTTTCCATGGTAACACACTCCTCACAGCTAGGCCGCTCCAGCCTTAGGGCAACCAATGCAAACACAAATACAGTTATAAGCATATTATTATCATCACTTCTGTACATATTTCTATCCAATTGCTTCTTTCCTGGGAACTTGTTGGGGACAAGCAACCTTTAGGGGTCACCATATTGAGTTGCACTGAGTTAGAATAGTCTTGAACATAACTTCATATCCATCACATGTCATCTCTCTTATCATATTGGTGCAATTGAAACAATATACTAGATGATGCAGCAGTCCAAAAATTCTGGTGGAGGAGTCCATGTGAGCTGTGTCAATAGATATGGTGTTGTACCTTTCTACAGCTTTCACACTGTAGTTATAGTACTTTGGTACCACTTCAATGGCTATAGCTTATCCTTGTGGAATAGTGGGATTTGCAGTTTTAAAGTGTTAGTCTTATTTGCCTATGGGCACCATTGCCTTCTCATATAATCTCTGAAATTTAAAAGTTTTCTCTGTGTTATTATGTAGCAATGCCATTACTCGGAGTATATCAGAGGAGGGGACACATTAAAGGCATTGTTCCCATTGCCCTCCATGAAAACGCTCTTCACTCTGCAAATGGATAGCATTGCAGTCCCTTTAAACTTCAGTCAAGCATTTATAAAGAAGGTATAGGCATCCCATTAAAAAAGGCAGGCAACATGACCAATGGAACATGAACACAGAAAATGAATGAGTTCTTGTATGAATAATATTCAATGTCACACTCTCTGCAATGTTAGGAAATTGGAGACATTCCAAGAGGGGTGTATTAGGGGAGCAATTCCCTTATTTTGTTGCCTCTCCCCATCCCTAGAGCCATGCCCCTGCCCTCCCTGAAACTTGATGAATAATTCTGGAGCCACATTAGATAGCTTTCAAGATAATAAGAGGAATCCTATTATTATTATTATTATTATTATTATTATTATTATTATTATTATTATTAACACAACAAGATTAGTACACAGCAAACAACATCACTATACTGGTTGTTGTATTGGATCACACGTCGGACACTTCCCAAGTGTCTAGGACTATGTGATGTATCTGCGAATAATGCGTGCAGATTCCAGTAGGTTGGCCTTTTGCAGCTGACTGATGGCAATTTTGTCAGCGCAGATTGTGTCCAAGTGCAGGCCAAGGTCTTTAGGCACTGCACCCAGTGTGCCCATTACCACTGGGATCACCTTGACTGGCTTGTGCCAGAGTCTTTGCAGTTCAGCCTTTAAATCCTTGTATCGTGTCAGCTTTTCCAGTTGTTTCTCTTCAATCCTGCTGTCGCCTGGGATTGCAACATCGACAATCCATACTTGGTTTTTTAACACGATCATGAGGATAAATTATTATTATTATTGTTGTTGTTATTGTTATTGTTATTATATTTATTTATACCATGCTTTATCTCCCCAAAAGGGACTCAAAGCGGCTTGACATAAAAGTATTAGTATACAATTTAAAATATACAAATATGAAAACAGAATTAAACACAAACATTCACAATTAAAATCCATCAAATCCCATGGCTACTGATAATCCTAGCCAAGAATGCTTTATTTCTCCCCCTTTTCTACAAGCCAGGAAGGGGAAGTGAAGTTTGGACCTGAACCAAAATGCAGGCCAAGGTCTTTAGACACTGCACCCAGTGTGCCCATCACCACTGGGACCACTGGGGTTGCCACATAGGAAACCCTAATCAGGCATTTTGTCTGTGTACTTAATGGCATAAGTGCTGGTGGCCACATGTCTGTCATCTTTCAGCCCATGTGGAGGGACATTTCATGGAGATATCAGGGCCCTCATTTGTAGTCATCAAAGAAACCCGGACCTTTGTCTCTAAAATGCTCTCTTTCTGTATTTCAGGGTTGCTTGGAAGAAATACTGCAGCGGAAAAAACCTCTCCCGCTGGACACAAGGCTGCAGACTGAAGTTGATGAAAATAAGAGATATTTCGCTTGATTTTTCTTTTGAGGAAGCCAGTTCCTAATTCTCCCTGTACAATCAGCTTTCTGCTAATTCTTTCCATGCAGGTGGCTTCCCGCACAATAGAGGGGTTGCCTTTCTCTGCTTCTGTTTTGAGGACTGATCAGATATTAAACATGTGGGAACAGGTGGTTATCTTGGTTGATAAAGTCAGTCTTTCTGCTTAACATTATTCAATAAACTGAACTCATATTGATTTATATGATTCTCATAGTCTGTTTGATGCATGAATGGTTTTAACATCTTTTGGACATTGACATGAATCTCATCAACTACAACGTGTGCAGCAAGTGCTGATTTTGCTAATGGTTTTCTTTCAATTTCAGAAATATTTCCTTTCAAATTTTGGGTATAAAAACCAAGTTGGGTTTATAGACCATAGAAATCAAAAACATCACTCATCTGCCATTAAAAGTTCACAAAGAATTTGCTTGCAAACTTTGCTGGATGACAAGGGTTACTACAACCACCTATTTTTTGGGGGGGGAGAGGGTACAGAAGTATATGGATTGCATTTATGTATGTGAACAGAGGGAATATGAAAACCAATATGAATATGAAGAGGGGACAAGCTTGTTTTCTACTGCTCTAGAGACTAGGGCATGGAGCAATGATTTCAAATTGCAGGAAAAAAAAGACGTCACCTTAACATTAAGAAGAGCTTCCTGATGGTAAGAGCAGTTTGGCAGTAGAATATGAGGTTTTCAACAAAGTATTGTTGGGAATCAGGAGCTGTTAGGCTCAAAATGCTGAGAGACACAGTCCAAAAAGAGGTTGAGAGATGCACAATTTCTCTTGTTGTTTGAGAGCAACGTGAAACAATGTTTGCTGATCCTTTCAATGTGTCAAGTGTATCTTAGGCCATTCTGCACACACCAAAGGAGACAGTGGGATATTCACTGAAATAGTTCACATGGTTACAATAAATGGGTAAGAGAACCTCTCTTTGGGATTAGACTTCCTCAAGTTCCTTCAAAGGGAATAACAGAAGATGAATATTTTTGGGTTGTCATAATCATACATAATATATCCGGTGTAGATAACTAAGTAATTAACTTACCTGGTGGTGCAACAAATTGTGGCTCGTATGAATTTCCTCCCAGCCATTGCTGATCCATGGAACCAGAGACCGTTTTTAAAATTTAAATAATAAAAAGTGACCAATCAGACATAAATAATGTTACATTATACTAAGCAATATACTGTGTCTGCTCAAATGAATTCTCCCTAAACCACGTACTTACTGCCAATGCGATTAACGTGCAGTAAGTCCTAGCCTCTCATGAAAGATCCAACTTTGTGACCCTTCATCCCATTTCTCCTTCTGAAATGACTTTGAGCATCCAGTACCCGATGAAGTAGCTTCAAAAGTCCCATTAGATACAACGACATAACAAAGTGGTGCCTCTTACATAATATGGCAAGTAGCTGAGACAAGTGCCAGAGAGACAAGTGCCAGAAGTGCTTTTCTGCCTATTGAAACAATACTTTTGACTCCTTTAACAGTGGCTTCAAGTGTAGATCTCCTTAATTTAAAAACAGAAATCTCAATTGTACTATTATGCAGAATAGGTTTAGATACCTCTATTTTCTGTATGAAACTGACGATCTGCCTCAAGACATCATAACCTAACATGCTAGATTGTGACTTTACTTCGTGCACTAATATTAAAAATACTTCGACTTCCAAATTGAGTCTACTGTCATTGTAATTGTTTTCTTCCCAACTGATTTCTGATGAGGTTTTAATAGTTTCTATCCATAAAATCAATATCATTATCTATAATATCACGATCATTGCTAGACACTTGGTGCTGAAACCAAACCAAATGACAATGTTCTGAAATTGAAAATGGTTTCCTTGATAAGAAAAGCCTCAATAAACTCCTGTGTGCGAAAGTCATTGGTTGTGTTGATAAGTCTCCTTGAGATCTATGGAGACTATCTAAGCCCATGAAGACTTCTATTGTCTATTTTTCTTAATTGATTTGTAATGTATCCATGTTGAATACTAAGATACCTCACTAAATTTAGTGATATCTGAGATATCACTAGATAATATTTTCTGTTCAATTTTGGAACTGTAAAGAAAAGCTGTGTAGACGCCATGCAACCACCGAGCCTCTGGAATCTCCTCTTTTGTTCCCATTTTACTGGTTAGGAAGCATATCTGCCTTTTGTCGCCTTGTCTTGTATCCTTGTGCTACTGACTGAATAACCCACTGGTCTGACACCCCCTGTTTCTATAAATGCCAAAATCAAGAGGTCTCCCCTTATTAGGGCCACTTCATAACCCGTAATATGGATTATGGCCTGAGACATCTCGTATGCCTTGACTCTGCCTCGACTGTATACTAAATTGCTGTCTCGGTCTGTGCTGTTTCAGTCTTTGTCCTCTATTATCTGTCTGCTATTCTCCGATTTCAAATTGGTTATCACAACTTACCAATAGAGCTATAATTACTTATGTAATGTTGTTCGTCACTTTGGAGCCATTTCTTAGAGCATAACTTTTCAAAATATTGCTCGCAGTTTACGGGGATAGAAATAATTGCTTATGCCGTGTTCTTCTCTGGTTTTCAGTTGCCTTTTAAATTCCTTTTTATGCTTGTCCTTAGTGACCCGCTGACAAGCGATGAATTGGGTGGCTGTTTTTCAAGTTGCTGTCATCTCTCGATCTGTTTTTTTCAAAGCCATTGGTTTTTTCATTCTTGTTTTTAATCCTTTCTAACATCTTTGCCTTATAAGTTTGTCAGAGAAGGGCAAATATGACAGAATGGTTAGGCAGGACAGAAAAACTGTTGGAGATGTGGGCAGGGTCTTGATGGCTCAATTGAAAAAGAATCTTGGATTCTGCGATTCCAATTGGAGCGCAGGGCTGAAAGTAATAAATAATAATAATAAAACTTTATTTGTACCCCGCTACCATCTCCCCAAGGAACTCGGTGCGGCTTACATGAGGCCAAGCCCACAATACATCAGTAAAAACAATAACGACAGTAATACAAAACAATAAAATAAAACCCATAAACAGAAAATAAGCAGTAAACATTAACAATAACACAACAACATTAAAAAAAACCTATGGCTGAGCCAAATGTAATAATTAAAATTTTAAAATAATGCTGAGCATGACCAGGTGACATATAACTAGGACAGAATTTTCAGAGACAAATAGGGCATGCAGATAATCCTAGATCACTAATAAAGTGCATTTAGGGACATATTGCTGGGAGTTTCCTTATTCTGGGAAGGCACACTGGAACAACCACGTTTTCAGGCTCCTCCTAAAGACTGCCAGAGTTGGGGCATGCCTGATGTCCTTGGGGAGTGAGTTCCAGAGTCAAGGGGCCACCACCGAGAAGGCCCTCTCCCTCGTCCCCACCAATCACGCCTGCGAAGGAGGTGGGAGCGCAAGCAGGGCCTCTCCAGATGATTGAAGAGATAGTGTGGGTTCCTATACAGAGATGCGGTCACACAGGTAAGCGGGTCCCAAACCATTTAGGGCTTTGTAGGTAAGAACCTGCACCTTGAATTGGGACCGGAAAATGAACGGCAGCCAATTGAGCTCCATAAACAGGAGAGTTGACCGCTCCCTGTAAGGAGCACCAACAACCTGGCTGCCGCCCGTTAGACCAATTGAAATTTCCGGGCGTTTTCAAGGGTAGCCCCACGTAGAGTGCATTACAGTAGTCCAATCTGGAGGTGACTAAGGCATAGACCACCCTGGCCAGATCAACCTTCACAAGGTATGGTTGCAGTTGGCGCACGAGTCTTAATTGTGCAAAGGCACTCCTGGCTACCGCCAATGCCTGAGCTTCAAGTGTCAGTGATGAGTCCAGGAGGACACCCAAACTGCGGACCTGTGACTTCAGGGGGAGTGCAACCCCGTCCAATACAGGTTGCCACCCAAACCCCAATTTGGTTTACGGTCTACCAGGAGGACGTCTGTCTTGTCGGGATTGATCTTTAGTTTGTTCGTCCTCATCCAGACGGCCAAAGCAGCCAGGCACTCGTCCTTGGAGGGGCTTCCTTGGAGTTAGGTGGAAAAGAGTAGTAGAGTTGCGTGCTATCTGCGTAGAGATGGCACCCAACTCCAAAACACTGGATGACCTCTCCCAGCGGTTTCATGTAGATGTTAAAAAGCCAATCATAGTGGATTCCTCCTCCCAACCATCCCAAGAATCACACTCTTGCTGTCCTTCTTTAACTAGACTCTGGCTTCTCTTGTCTGAAGACTTCCCTCTGGCCTCTTGACAGCTTCTCAGATCTACTTCGTGGTCCACGGGCTGCTTCTAAGAGTTTCTCAAGCTGCTCCAAAGATGGCCAGGGGAGATTTTTTTATCCCTTCTCTTAAAAGCACCTAATTTTTCCCTATGGCTCTTTCCCCAGCTTGCACCCTCAGTTTCCTGACTGCAGCTAACAGGGATATAGTTTTCAGTGTAGATGGAGTCAGGCTCTACTTGTCTCTGGCTGCAGTCATTTGTACAGCTGATGTTATGTCTGCCTTTCCTGGAATCTCACGTTCGCCCATGACGTTTTGGTTCAGAATTTTGATTTTGTGGTTTGAAAATAATCAAAACAAATCTAAATCAGAAGTTCAAATCTCATCATTCTTCAACTCTCACAGTAATTTAGTTAATCCAGCTTCCAATAACTTTCCTTTTCTGCATCTGCACTGTGGAAAGTGGTGGGCTCTCCTTGTATTGAACAGATTGTGAGGGATGCTTTTGCTGTGGATCCTGAATTTTCAGGGTGGTTGGACAACACAAGGAGTTCTATCCAGCTCTCCAATTTATTTATTTTATTTACTGCATTTCTATCCCTGTAATTACAAAGCATCATCACTAGAGGTCAGTGAAGGCCACAATATTCCTGCTCTAACTTCCCTTCTAAAAACTGTTCACAAACTTTGATAAATGGGCAACACAAAGGCGCATACCCACATAAACATGATATGGGGTTATCATGCATAAGGGTGGCCTTGCCAGAATGAGTCAAGTC